TACTGACGGTGGTTGTGACGATGACATAGGCCGCAGAGTTGATTTGTCAAGCTGCGGCTCTGTAGTCATTGCTGATAAAGTTGGTGGAAGAGAGGCAGATGCTGGCGCAGATGACTTTACTGTAGGCTCGGGCGGTACTGACGGTGGTCGTGACGATGATATAGGACGCAGTGTAGATATGTGAAGCGATGGTTGTGTAGTTATTGCTGGTGAAGTTAGCGGGACAGAGGCAGATGCTGGCGCCGATGACTTTACTGTTGCCTCGAGTGGTACTGAAGGTGGTCGTGTCGATGACATAGGTCGCAGAGTTGATTTGTCAAGCGATGGTTCTGTTGATAGTGCTGTTGAAGTTGGCGGGACAGAGGATGATGCTGGCGCCGATGACATTACTGTAGGCTCGAGCGATGCTGACGCTGGTCGTGACGATGACATAGGCCGCAGAGTTAATCTGTCAGGCGATGGTTCTGTAGAAACTGCTGATGAAGTTGTCAGGACAGAAGCAAATGCTGGTGCCGATGACTTTACTCTTGCCTCGAGTGGTACTGACGGTGACGATGAGATAGGACGCAGAGTGGATTTAGCAACTGTTGTTACTGCTGATGAAGTTGACGGAAGAGAGGCAGGTGCCGGCACCGACGAGTTTAATGTTGGCGATTTCTTTGGGACGTCTGATAACGATGCTGGTGGTATAGGCTGTAACGACGATGAAGTTTCCGGTGGTGCTGCAGGATAGGCTGATGTCTTTGATGAAGGTGAAGTAAAGGCTGATGGTGTTGCTGACCGGCTCAGTGAAACCCGTGCTGGTGACAGCGAAGATGCTAAGTCTTTTGACGAAGATGGTTTAGGTGGCCCTAGGGACGCCAGGGATGCAGATTCTGGTAATTCTTTAACAGATGTTGATCGTGGCTCGAGTGGTGCTGACGGTGTCGGTGTTCGTGACGACGACATAGGTCGCATAGTTGATTCGTCAAGCGGCGGTTCTGTAGTCATTGCTGATGAAGTTGGCGGAAGAGAGGGGGATGCTGGCGCCGATGACTTTACTCCTGTCTCGAGTGGTACTGACGGTGGTCGTGACGACGACATAGGCCGCAGAGTTGATCTGTCAAGCGATGGTTCTGTAGTAACTGCTGATGAAGTTGTCTGGACAGAGGCAGATGCTTGCGCCGGTGACTTTACTGTTGCTTCAAGTGATACTGACGGTGGTTGTGTCGTTGACATAGGCTGCAGAGTTGATTTGTCAAGCGATGGTTCTGTTGCTACTGATGGTGAAACTGGCGGGACAGCGGCATATGCTGGCGCCGATGACTTTACTCTTGCCTCGAGTGGTACTGACGGTGGTCGTGACGATGATATAGCACGCAGAGTGGATTTGGCAACTGTTGTTACTGTTGATGAAGTTGGCGGAAGAGAGGCAGGTGCCGGCACCGACAAGTCTAATGTTGGCGATTTCTTTGGGACGTCTGACAACGATACTGGCGGTGGAGGCGGTGATACCGATGAAATTTCCGGTGGTGCTGCAGGATGGGCTGATGTCTTTGGTGAAGGTGAAGTAAGGGGTGATGATGTTGCTGACCGCCTCTGTGCAGCCCGTTCTGATGACAGCGACGATGGTGAAGATGACCGAGGCGGATGCTGAGACGTTGACAAGGATGGCTTTAGGGACGCCAGGGATGCAGGTCCTGGTAATTCTGTAATTGGTACTGATCGTGGCTCTAATGGTACTGACTGTGACGGTAGGCGTGGGAACGACATAGGTCGCACAGTAGAGTTGGCAACTGATAGTTCTATGGTAACTGCTGATGAAGTTGACAGAATAAAGGCACGTGCCGGCGCCGATGACTTTACCGTTCGCTCGGGTGTTACTGACGGTGGTTGTGACGATGACATAGGTCGCAGAGTGGATTTAGCAACTGTTGTTACTGCTGATGAAGTTGACGGAAGAGAAGCAGGTGCCGGCACGGACGAGTTTAATGTTGGCGATTTCTTTGGGACGTCTGATAACGATGCTGGTGGTACTGGCTGTAACGACGATGAAGTTTCCGGTGGTGCTGCAAGATGGGCTGATGTCTTTGATGAAGGTGAACTAAGGGGTGATGGTGTTGCTGACCGGCTTAGTGAAATCTGTGCTAATGGCTGCGAAGATGCTAAGCTTTTTGGTGAAGATGGCTGAGGTGGCTGCTGAGACGTCGACAAGGGTGGTTTTAGGGACGCCAGGGATGCAGGTTGTGGTAATTCCGCAATAGGTTTTGAACATGGCTCGAGTGGTGCTGACGGTGTCGGTGGTCGTGATGACGAAATACGCCGCAACGTAGATTTGGCAGCTGGTGGTTCTGTAGTTACTGCTGATGAAGCTGGGGGAACCGAAGCAGGTGATGGTGCCGGTAACTTTACCGTTGGCTCGAGTGGTACTGACGGTGACGATGGGCGTGACGACGAAATGTTTCGCAGAGTAGACTTGGCAACTGGTATTTCTGTGGTTACCGTTGATGAAGTTGGCGGGAGAGAGGCAGGTGCTCTCGCCGATGATTTTATTCTTGGCGGTTCTTTCGGGACACCTGATAAGGATGCTTGTGGTGGAGGCTGTGATGGCGATGAAATTTCCGGTGGTATTGCAGGGTGGGTTGGTTTTTTTGATATTGGTGAAGTACTGAGTAACGGTGTTGCTGTGGGGCTCTGCGCTGCTGCTGTTGATGACAGTGAAGATACTAAGCTTATTGCTGAAGATGGCAGAAATGGGTGCGGTGAAGTTAAGAGCACTGAAAAATTTGTTGTATTTGATGGTGCTGGTGGTGCACTTTCTGGAGCTGTCGGTGATGCATGCAACTTATTTAGCGGGGCTGAGAGTTTTGATGATAGGGACTGTCTGGTGGACTGTTTCGCACGTTTAGCTCCGTTGGTGATCCCTCTTTTCAACATTACGTCTTTACTTGCATTTGTCTCTGGTGTGTTTATTTTTATTATAATGGCAGACGTCTTGCGTGGAATTTCCACAACCGTTGATGGCGAAAGTGGCGTTGTAGAGCCGGAAACTAATTCCGCTGTTACACGTACTTTGTTTGGTGCACCCATTTTCAAGGGTGTTACAGTGTCTGCTTGTGGAGTGGTTAGTTTCGTCGTAAAGGTTTCATGATTGTATTGTGTTTTAGATGCACTCGGTGTGAATTTTGTTTCCGATGATAATAAGGCACTTTTTGCCGGTGACTTGTTTGCAGAGGAAGCATTTCTTTTCGATATTCCATTTTTCTTCCATGTTTTTTCGCCTAACTCTGCCACTGATGTAGAGGAAAGGCCTGCGGTTGTGATCGTCTCGTGGAGCTTAGTATTTACTGCATTTTTCGATGATGACGTTGTTGGCAGGGCTGGAGATTTATTAGAATAAGATACGTTTCCTCCTTTCTTAGTTGTCGGTTGTAATGGCGATGGTTTTGAACTGCTGGATTTTTCAGAAACCTGTTTTGTTTGGTTTTCTGGTTTTCGAGCTTCAGCTCTCTTTTGTATAGGGAAAAGGGCTCGAGTTGGTTTAAGGGTCACTATGGCACCAGAATTCATGGTGGGTTCACCACTGTCTATGTCATGTTCAGTTAATGATGTTTTTCTTGTGTGTATGTCGGGTTTCGAGATTTGCTTCACTGGTGGCGGTGTTGAAAGCAATTCTCCGATACTAAAAAGTTGGTGTGGAAAAAATATGTTTTTTGGTTCTGCTGATAACACAGTGCTTGATTCAGTTGTTCCTGTTTTTGGTGTCAGCGTTGTTCCTTGGAATTTTTCCTTTACGGCTATGTGTACTGACGTACCTTTTATTGATGTTGTCTCGAAGTTTCTGGCTGATGGTTCACCTTGCTGTTTTAATGTTTCTACTTCTGTCCTGAGCCTGCTGGTTATTAATGAAGCTACTGCTGTTGCTTTTATACTTCCTCCGGTTGTTTCAAAATTTCTTGCTTGCTCTGGAGCCATTGTGGGTTCGCTGTTCATCAAAGATGCAGCTATCGTTGATTTTTTTTCGGATTTTGGTGGGTTTTTTACTTTCAACGAAGTTCCTGTTGAAACTGCACCAGAAATCACCTTTATGTGTGATATTTGCTTGTTGCTTGGTTTTAAAGGCTCTCTTTCAGTTGTTACTAATAGTTTGCCTTCTGCAAATGAATTCGTTACTACTGGGACTTCAGCTGACGCTACTGCTACTGCTCCCTTCAGGGCGTTTCTAGAATTTACTTCCGGAGTAGTCGATATTGGTGGTTCATTCGCAAAGCTATTGTAGCTTTTATTTTTTGCAGTTTTCGCTTTTGACTTTAGTTGGTTTGAGGCTGATAAAGTTGCTGCATTTAATGGAATCTGGGTTATGACAGGATTTGTAGATTGCGACTCCTGCAAAAACATAGGCTGCTCTGGATGCATCGTTTTTGGAGATTCCCGTTGCGTTCCTGGATGAGTAGCGCTTGGAGAAATAGTCCCACTTGCAAGGTGAACATTCAAAAACAGATTCTTTGAGGCGGTTGTGTTTGTTTGCGTGCTGTTTTGAGCTACCGCAGCCGCTTCATCTGTAATTGATTGTACTGGTGACTCACGTCTTCTCGTCACTGCAGTGGAATCTAAGTCAGGTGGGAAAATACTTGACGTGGCTGTTTTTTTCAAATCTGTTACTTGTATGTGTGTCCCGATTACTGCCTTTGTAACAGTAGCATCGTGCTTTAAAGCAATTGCATTAGTTCTGCTTTGTGGAGTTGTGGACAGTGTCGTGGATGCGATCCTTGGTGGAAATGCTGTTATTTTGTTAGTCTTTCCACCACTGTTTTGTGCCAGGGATGTTCGTTTTGCTGCGCGCTGGGGCACTGTTGTTGATTTTGCTCCCTGCTTCGAGCTTGTTTCTGAATACAACTGCAAAGTCGATTTAACACGATGTGGAGCGTATGACGGTGGTACTGCTTCCAAATTGGTGGTAGTGGTCATTCCGGAATTTGTCGAAGATGCCAACCAGCTTTTTGTCAGAAAAGTGGCATTTTCTGTACTTGCTGTTGTTACTGGTAATACATTTGTTAAAGAGGGCCTTGAAGTGAAGTATTTTGATGACTCTGGGGCTGATGTGCTAGTTCTGTCGAGTGCCAGTGTTCGGGCATTCATCGTTAAAGATACTTTTGGTGAGGACGTTTGCGAAGTCGGTTCAGCCGACTCCTCAGGCACATTTATTGGAATGAGCGTAGTTCGCATGCCTAAAGTCGGGGATTCTGTTGATTGACCGCTGCCTAGCGCAGTTTTCATAAAGACTGATTGTCCGTGCGTTTGAGTTATAAATTTTTCTCCAGTAATTGCGGTAAAAAGATAAGCACCAGCTGATGACACTGAAGATACTGTTGACAACATAATGTTTGTTGCTGGTGACATCCCGGACATAGTTTTGCTGGCGATCAAGTCGTTCTTGTTACGCCTCGAATCCATCACATTTAACTGTGGCGACGCATTTCTGACTTCTGTGAGTGGCATTTCTAAGACATTTTTCTTTGCTGCTTGTAAAGTTTCATTAGGAATAAGCAAATTTATATGTGCTTTCAGCTGCTGCTGCTGCTGCTGCTGCTGCCTGGTTGCTACTATTGCGGACAAATCTGTCATCGTAAAAGGGTTTGTCTGGGTTGTTTCAGTAAACAGTGTGTCAGAAGGTTTTCGGATAGCGGATGAATTTCGAAGCATCGTCTCCATAGCACTCGGTGAAATAGCTATTGCGGATGTGGATTCTTCGCTTGAACGCGTATCCTTCCTCGCCCGTTGTTTTGCTTTCCGAGTTATATCAGTCTTCCGTAAACTTTGCACCCGGGGAGTTACGGTGTTCACAACATCAGTTTGGCGGATTGTTCGTTGGGCAGCGGGTACCGACGGTAGCGGTGAGGTACCTACTGCATTTCGCTTTAGCGGCTTTTCTCTAACTGTGCTTGGATGTGTTTTTGCGGTTTTTGCAAATTCGTGATTCGATAATGATTTGTGTGCACTCCCAGCTTCGCTTTTGTAAAGTGGTGGTTTTGAAGTCGACGAATGACTACGTGGTGCTATTGTAGAGGTAGTTCGTTCTAATGATCGTGCCTGCCCCAGCAATGCCAGCTCCATATCTGCAGTTGCTGCGCGCTTCTTTGTTGTGCCATTAACTGCGTTCCAGTCTGTTATTCCGGTTTTCTTGCTTCCTTGAAAATGCAGGGATTTTGAATTTATAGTTGTAAAAAAGTTCATGATTGCATGCGTACCCAGATTTAATGTTGTGGCTAGCTTTATCGTCTTTTCTGTAGTTAATCTAGGTAATTTCAAATGAGATGGAATTTCACCCATTGCTGCTATTGTGGAATCATTTTGCGGGTCGATAGCTAATCCTTTACTTTGGGCAAGGCTTGTTTGTTCTCTTGACATTTCTGGATTATGCACGATTGGGTTAATTTGTTCCGATGGCATTTTTGATTGTATCATTTCGGATGCGAGTAGATCTGTCTGGTTGCAGTTGTCTGAGTTTGTAGTACTTTGGCTGCTGCTAACCTCGGATGGTTTCGTCGGTAAAGTAACCATTGTTTGATTTATTGTCGAACCTGTTTTCATTTGTTCCATTGATAATTGCGAATTGGATGCTACAGCAGCAGTTATGGAACTTGTTGATGTCAGTACATTCGCACTTACATTAGATTCAGGATGTATTCGTGTTTCCGGAGGTTCTGTTAATTCTGTGGTCCTAGTATTTATTGAGACAGTTTTTGAAAATTTCTGATGTGTATTTATGGATTTGAGCTGTAATGTGAATGATGAAATCGCTTTATCCCCTTGACTATTGTACAGTAGTTCCGTAGAACTGAGAATCGGTATGCGTGAATTTACTGACGTAGGACTCATCGATGATTCATTCTCAGTAGCCTTGGATTCGAGATGTTTCGCCTTAGTTCTTGATCTTTCATATTTTTGGCGCATTGCTGGATCGGTGGCTGATTCATTTTTGGAATTTTTTTTCACAGCAGTAATCTGTGGTAATGTGGTAAAATGTGTGGCAGCCTTTGTAGAGCGCATTGAGACAGCTTCTGTTGCTGCTGGCGTTTTAGTTGGTGCATTCCAACGTTTGGGTGGCCCTATATCCATAAATGTCCACGGCGCTGCTGGTGTTATTGTATCTTGCTCATTTCCGGAACTTCGCCTCGCAGTTTTCCCTTGTATGGTTTTAGAATTTATATTTTGTGTAGATAGTGACACAGTTTCCTTCTTTTCATCTGATAACATCAGTGATTGTGGTGGCATAGTTCCAGTAATGTTCTTCGTCGACTCCTGATCATCTGGATGCGAATTTAATATGGGCTGCGAAGACTCTTTGCTCATAACATCCGTAGATGTTGGCAAACTTAAAGTTGGCTGCTGCATAATGCCTAGAGGCTGCTGCTCTAGATTGATATCAACGGATCCAGAGAGTGTCGTGGGTTCTGAACCTTTAGACGCAAACGTTGTAAGTGGTGATAATGAGTTTTTCAGTGTATTGGTGATTTGTGGGGCTAATGATACTTCCAAATGATGTCCCACTTCTTCAGTATTTATAATGTCATAAATACTACGATTGGGCTCAGTAGATATGGTTAATGCACTTCTAATACTTTCTTCTGAGGTTTTTGTCTTGACTGTGGACCTCTTATTCTCAGCTGGTCGTTCTTGAGAGGCGCCATTAGATCTTTGGCTGAAATGCTGGATAAGCCCGTGACCTTGGTCTGATGCTGTCGTTCCTGGTAGTGGTGCTGATGTAAACAGTTCAGGCTGAGTGGCTTCAGTAAGTGGATTCCATAAATTAGTTGGTGTTCTGTCACTTCTGCCTGATCTGGAAATATCTGTCTGCATTTTTTCAGTACTTCTCACTTGCTGTTCTACTTGCTCATTCTTTCTTTTAATATTTGAAAAAGTTGTTTTGGAAATGCTCCATTCTGGAACCTTATTGGCTGATAGTACCTCCGTGAAGCTGTTTGATTCTGGCATTATAGCGGGTTTTGAGCCCAGCTTTGTAGCTTGCGTGATAGCTAACATAGATTCTTCCGATTGCCTCGTTGCTGCTTGTTCGCTGATCGATTTGTAGTCATCTTTTGTTGTCAAATAATCTATCCCTAATTTCTTTTTTATTTCCCAGGCCTGATCATCAGCACTAGCGGTTTTTTTCCAGTTCACAGTGTAACTGATGGGTGCATCGTCTTCAACAAAATTCTCCGATTCCTTTGCACGGTCCGATTTGATGTCGACTCTGGACGACATCTGACTGACAGCTTTTTGCAGTTGATCAAGTAAGTACATGTACATAATTTTTGATACGGAAGTTTGTTGATGAACTTGGGAATTAACAGGCCTTTTTTTCCCACTATAAGGTGCTGTGGTGATTGCTTCTTGAGAAGAATAATGAGTTTTTTTATCCTTTTGAAAATAAAATGTTGAGTTTTTTGAGCCACCGGATGATAAAATTTCTCGGTCTTTCAAATAATCTTGAGCAACATGTGACTGTTTCGAACGAGAAGACGCCCAAACACCTGAAAATCATTTGATATCTTATGTTAATCTGTCTGAATACTAGTCATGAACCGAATAATCTTACGATATTGCTAAATTTGAGTGATAGGTATATGTTGGTCATACATGCTGTATGAAGACAGAATTATTTTCTCAGTGAAGAAGTCTTGTGAAAATTTTTGCCTGATCGTGAGGTAGGACTGGAGGAAGGTGTGCTTGACGATTTTCGAAAAAAATATAACCAGGCTGGAACGCATCAGGCTTGCCGGTGCGATCATGCGTTTTTGCACTAAGCTCGCAAATCGCTAATAGCAGGAATGACCCCTGGGCTGTAGCCTAACACTTGGGCTCACATTGGCCATGCTTTGTTTTCTTCCGGCGTGCAGGAGAAAGAGCGTCGGTTGAAAAGGAGGTGCTGCATTATAGGGCCACGCGGACTTGCAGGTACATGATTATTAGTTTTGTGCATAAAACCTGGTCGTTTTTTCTGCAAATGTTCGCTTTTTGAAAAAATGAAAAATGTGAATTTTTGAAAATACAAAAATTTCAGTTCTTCACTGAAAAGTGAAAATTTTGCTAGAGCGGTCATTTTTTTCAAAAAATCCAATCATGTAAATGAACTGGATGTCGGGAAAGAATGAAGATTGTTCGCTACAAAATGCACTCGTTTCTGGGTTTGCGGTAAAGTTGAGTATTTTTCACAGCCACCTGCAGGGGGATTCACATCTAAGCAGAATTAAGACCACACTTGAAAGTAGAATATCCCAGCGAATTTTCAGCTTCGCGTTTTATCCGGTAAACGAAATAGCCACTTTGCTACAAACATCTTTGAAGTGTACTAAGTCGTGATGCAAGTGCAAATCGGAACTCAATTTAGGTATATGATTTTCTATTTGGATAACAAACATGCTGACAAAATTTCAGCGACTGCTTTCCGGCTAGTTTTCGAGTTAGGACAGTGCCAAGTGCAAACTTCGACGTGATCTTATGTGCTGCATAAGCGTGCGCGATAGCTGAATTTGAAATCTTTAGCTTGCACATGCACAAAGAATTTCCTTACAAAATTCCAGCTTTGTGCATTGCCTGGTTCACGAAGTCGTTTCCCATCGAAAAAATTTGTATATTTTTTCGGAGGTTCGTACACGAGGTCTAGCGCGTGTAAGCGAAAATTTTAAAATGGGAGGATGACACATAGGGTAGGACATAAACCCAAAATTTCAGCCTCTCAGCTTTCCTGGTTGCTGAGATGAAAGTGGGGGACAAAATTTACTCGCTCCTGAACACACACACACACACACACACACACACACACGCACACACAACCTCTCGACAACATGCGTTTTTGTTGGCTGTAGCAGCGCTATAGCGCAGCACAGCAAAGACGCATAAAAAGGAATTTTTCATTCACACGTATTTTTCCGATGCTTTAAGTTTGCATTCACACGTATTCGATGCTTTAATCGAACTGTGACTTGAAAAAAGGACATAACGTTTGTTTGATTTGATTTGATTCATAACGTTTGCTTTAAAAAATGAGTCAGATAATAACGATTGTTTTGACAATTTTGCTTTTTCATCACAAGAAGAAAAACTGTCAGTTACGTCACTTCCCTTCCTCAGAAAAAATGTTTCACTGTGGCCGTGAAATCTATTTGCCCAACATATTAACTGCAAAACCAAAACTTTTGAAGCGCAGTTCCGCAAAATGTACGAGATCACAAATCGGAAATGAATTTTTTTCCCGATTTTCCACCTCAGGCTTAAATCTGAACCAGATATGACTTGGAAACTAGGAAGCCTACAAATTGTGCATTTTGTGAGGGTCGGTGCACTAAATGATTCGGAACAAACAGTCCAACATCGACTTCAAGTATCACTATGACCTATGTATAACTTCAGGTCTGAACTCGAGCTAATGGGGAGTGGAATGAACTAAGAAATCAGGGCTTTGGGGCATGGCTTTAGTGCCAACAAACCCTTTTTCTTGCCTACTACCGCGCATTCATATGAACTGAGATTATGACCCAAAGGCAGTTGAAGTCAGTAGTCTGAAATTTTTATTTCGCTTGTACGCTGCTTGTTAAAGTGGAAGATCATAGTGAACTCTAAATAACTGTTCACTTTCCTTCTCAGTCCAGATCTCTTACCTTTCTTTTTACACTTCTCGCTTCCCTATTTCGTGTGCAGCTGATCATCGTAATTTGCTTTTTTTTTATTTTTTTAAAACTGCAAGCATTTTGAAATGAGTTGATATGGTACAAGTACTATTTAATGAACATAGTGGATAACTGGAAGTAAGTTTTGGCACTGTAAGACAGAAATGATATAACTGCGCTAGCTGCGTGTCAGGAATATCGAACGCTTCATATAGCGCTGCGGAGACTATGTTGATCGTGGTGCTGGAGCAGGTTTGAAAATGTCCTTAATATAGGCCTACATTGCAGACAGCTATTAGTAACAGTACTAATAAGGGCACAACTTTTATTTAAACTCGTAAATTATTAATAGCTCAAAATATTACATTATATGCATTATCTCAAAGTACAGCAAAATACTAGTGTGTCAGTACTTTCCGAAATGAATTGGTTTGTCAGCAGTATGCTAATGCTTCTCGTCGCCTAGCGACCGTATTCTGGTAAGGTTCTTATCAGCGTTCTTGTTTTTCTCAAATTACTTAGACTCATCAACACGGCATGAATTATTAATGTACTAGATAAGGCTTGTTGACAGAATTTGCTATAGCGAAATCAAAAAAAAAGGAAATCAGGGAACAGCTACGATCTAAGAACCGGATTTAAAAATGGCATCATAAGGAATTACGCCAGTTGCGTCTCATATTTGCAAGCACGGATTTAAACAACAATGTGCGTTAACCTTTTGCGGTTGTTGACAGCAGAAAAATGAAAAAGACGAAAAGATGCTGGAGCATTGTTCATAAGTAAATGTTGCAGAGGTCACTGGTTGAGTGTTAGCTTGAAATTGATACAGACTGAGCGGGAACTCAGCGAGAGACGGATGGGGGCGGAAGGCAGAGGGTTGCGGCAGTGTGATAACTTAAATAAAGACATTAATTTAAATCGGATTATTGAAATGATCAGTTGATGACAATTTTCATCCCGTACATATTGCATCAATTTTTGAAAAGCATTGGCAGCAACACGCCTGTTTGGCCCAGCATCACAAACCAGTCCACAGGGATTATCGTAGATGGTCCAGCCTTCGCACCGTTCAAGTCTGTTCAATTACAATCATTATGCAAACGAATTGCGCATTCATACCCGCATTAAACTGGAAAATGATCAAGTGCATAATGTACTGAAAGGAATGCTGCATTCCAAAGGTCATTTATTATTATGGCACATCCTTCCCATCCTCTGCGGCCTCTGTACGAGGTTTCTTGTGGACGTATTTAAGCAACTCGCTTGACCATAAACGAGCAGTAAGGCAAGGGCAACCTTTTTTGGAAAATCATGTTAGTGAATGCATTTTTTGGTTAACTTACACTTTCGGCAAACTGCTAGCAGAATGCTGAAAAGCGTAGCGTGGTGCTACTGGCTGTTCAAAAACAACTGTTTAATCCGACATGCACCTTGAGAAAAAAACGCCTGCCCACACTCTGGTTGCAACAACATTTGCATATGAACAAAACAGTGCTCTCTCGCATCAGAAAGCATTTACAGGAACTTCTTGAACTTCTTAGTGTTTAAACAAACACAACACTGTAAGTCTATTTTTTCAAGAAGTAGGTTAAATATACTTGGAGTGGCAGTGACAGGACTGCTGTCAAATTTCATTACTTTTGACCCTAGTTTATAATAAAAACGTGAAAGCATAAAAACACAACACGAAATGTGCACCCGTGGCGTTAATACACTTTCCACGACACCGCATTCATTTAACAAGAAACATTAATATCTAAGAACACAATTTTGGACATAACTTTGTAATCGTAATTTCTGGGCCGCTGTCCATGAATTTTTGTCATGTAATTAATAATCGTTTCATAAATTTTGTCCTAGACCTGTATCGCTTCAGACTGATTATCTGAAAAGCGACTCAAGCAATAGCAGCTCTATCACAGACTAAAATCTTAGCAAAAAGTGGTGCAGCTGGCCCTCAACTGAGCACTTTTCCTCAAAACTAGCCATAGTCACAGCCATTGCTGAATTCTACGTCATAAATCAGTTCTTGCGTACAACTGAGCTGGGATTAATAAATTTGGCTGTTATTCCATAAATAGAATCAATTTTAAAAGCTAACATATCGAGGATTTTTGTTCAACGAACGTCTCTGGAAAAAAATAGTAACGTTTCTGAATGTGGGAAGAATGAGCTTAAACAAAAAATCGCTCAACCTCACAGTCAAGAGAACATTTCGCGGCCATCCGAAAAGCCACTTCGCGTCGGCAACCAATCAGTCATTTAGAAAATAAATTTTTCCGAAATTGATTTTCTAAATATCTGATTGCTTCCGATGCAGCAGTTCGCAAAACCGAAAATCAGCTAGGTAGCTACCTGGTTGCTTTTCCGGCTCTCAATTCCGAAAACATTCCGATTCAGCGCTAAATGCCACTTTGTGAAATTTACTGCATGCTTGTGTATCTCACCAGGCTTTATATAAAATTGGAAATGCGTACTTCCTCATAATAAATTTGTTCAGTCTCTATGAAGGAATGTATTTTTTCAAAAGATGACAAATTCCAGCGTATGTATTTCAAGCCTTTCATGCTCGTCTCTGTTTTTTTCGTTTTG